GCTCCATTTCACTGTGACTGGAGACTGATTGATTTGTAACGTGAAATGTTTTCCTTCCTTTGCTGGTGTAAATCAGCTGGTCTGTTTTAGAGAGGGAAAAACCTCTGTGGATAATTTAGAACACTGAAGGAATCCTGAGCAGCAGAAAAGACTGCAGTGACGTCATCGCTCCCTCTTTTATTGTTTTGTTTGTTAGCGCCAGAAAATTACATATTGTATGTTTGAGTCAAACTGAAATTGAATGTCATGTTTTCTTTGTGCTGCAGCAGAACGTCCTGCGTTCTCCTCTGAGAAAATAACAAGAGGAAGAAATGTTTATTTTATATTTTTGTCTTTACATCAAAAAACAACCATAAAAAGTGTCAATTAATTTTTTTAAATCAGTACCAGGATGATAACGTATACCACCGCAGCACTGCTGAACTTCATCCTCATCCTCAGTACACAGGAGCTCTGACATACGACGGCATCAGCGTCATGGCGACGGCCTTCCAGAACCTGCGGCGGCAGCGGATCGACATCTCTCGCCGTGGCAATGCAGGGGAGTGTCTGGCGAACCCTCCGGCTCCCTGGGGACAGGGCATCGACATACAGAGAGCTCTGCAACAGGTGACAATAAATACACACAAACACACACACAGCAGGGTTCAGACATACTGACACAATACTGTGTGTGTGTGTGTGTGTGTGTGTGCAGGTGCGTCTGGAGGGGCTGACGGGTCGCGTCCAGTTTGACGAGCGAGGACATCGAACCAACTACACTCTGAGTGTGATGGAGCTGAGACACACGGGGCCCAGGAAGGTGCTGCTGCTCGTCTTTTGTTAACGGAGGTTTGGTGTGTGTGTGTGTGTGTGTGTCTGTGTAGTCTGTGAGGTCGGCAGGTTTTTTCATCACATCAGCTCATTTCAATAATTAGCTCCCTCTCGTCTGATTTAAAGGTGAGATAATCAGTGAAATCAGCTGCTGCAGCTCCTGTTTGTATTAAAAACCTGCAGACTCTCAGATTTCTTTTTAAACTCCATCAGACTCCACAGCGTCACAGACGAATTCACAGAGAGGCTGCACGACGAAATGCATCTCTAACTGCGCTGCCAAGTTCACAGTGCCTCAGTGCTCCAGCGCAGTTTATTTAAATGAAGTAATGTGCAACATTTGGTGCAAGATTGCCCCCTTTTCTATGCAAATGAGCCTCATTGCCAAACAGTTTTCAGAGAGTTGGTGGAACTGAAGCGCACCGACAGATCACAGAATTAAATCCCAAATACAGTTTCTCTGTCACGTTTAAATTCCTTTCCTCAAGTTCTGAGGACACGTCATCTCGTCGGTCAGAACCTGCAGCTCTGCACACGTGTGTCGAGGCGTGAGTCTGTTTGTTCTGACATGTTTTTGAATCTTGTGTTCAGATCGGCTACTGGAACGAGAAGAGAGGCTATGTGAACACAGCCGTCTATAAGCCGGTGCTGGAGGAGTTCTACGGTCTGCTGAACAGAACCTACATCGTCACCACCATACTGGTAAGACTGGGAGACATGATCCTGTCCACTAACTGTCTTCCACTGGTTTTAGATTCCAGACTTTACAACTCAACCTGGCGACATCTTGAAATATTTAACCACCAGCTCATCAGCTCCTCCGTCATCACAGAACACAGAAACTGTCACCACAAGAAAACGTGTTCTTTGTGTGGATTATCAAACAGGAAGTGGATCATAGACGTTTGTTTCTGGCTGCTGGTGTTGACGTTAGTGTTAGCTGTCATAGCATGATAATGCTAACTACACTAGCTTACACTTGAAGTCAGAAAGAAACATTGGTGTTCAAAGTCAAAGTCCCACTGATTATCACACACCTGAGTGTGTGAAATTTATTCTCCGCATTTGACCCATCCCCTGAGGGAGCGGTGAGCAGCAGCGGCGACGCGCTCAGGAATCATGTGGTGATATAACCCCCCAATTCCAACCCCTGATGCTGAGTGCCATGGGTCCCATTTTTTTATAGTCTTTATAGTCTTCTATAGTCCCGGCCAGGGATCGAACCCACAACCTCCCTGTTTCAGGGCGGACACTCTACCACTGAACAGGTGTTTATTTCCTGGCTGTACGTGTTAGCATTAGCAACATGGCTACAATGATACATTTGATGAAAATACAAGTATTTGATATAGCACCTTTCACAGAAATAACATTCACAAAATGCAATGAAACAATCAAAGAATAAAAAATAGAGTTACAGTGGTCCAGTCAAGAGGACACAAAAGCTTGGATCATCTGAAGCCACAATCAGAACCTCCGTCTTGTCTGTGTTTAATTGTAGGTCAGCATAACAGTTGTACGATGAAACTGAGGACAGGTCTAATAATGTGACCAAGTGGAAGCATGTATAAAGTAAATAATACAGGACCTACGACAGAGCCCTGAGGTACACCACAGGAAAGAGCAGCAGTATCAGACCAAGACCAAGAGACACAGAGAAAGTCCAGTCAGGTGACTCCCAGAGACACCCACCCACTGTCTGAGCCTTTCAGTCATGATACTGTGATCCACAGTTTCAAAAGCTGCACTACAGGCCCTCAGAAACAGCACCAGACTTCAGTGGATCAGTGGATACATTTTTTTTTAGCATAACGACGTTAGCAAAATGTTTTCGTTTGTTTGTTTTCACAACCAGGATTTGATCCATCCGGTCTGAAACATTTAGAAAGTCCAGCAGAGCCACATGATTATTTTGGAAAATATGCTTGGCCGCTGGATTTCTTTCATTTACCAGTACCCTTGGCCGGCGAGTCAGTAAGTTAATTTCGGTGACTGCCATTAAAGTTAGCGTAGCGCTAAACTGTAAGTTAGCCACGTGGCTGGCCAAAGTTTCTAGTGCACCAGATCTGCTGGCGCCAAGATGCAGAAGAGCCACAAGTCGAACTTGTTTGGCTACATGGGTCACCGACTTTCACAGGAGTGAACGAGGCCTCGCTGCAGGGCTGTATCCACTTCTCTTTGTACATCCATGCATGGATACTGTGAGCAGCCCGGCTACTATCAAAGGAAAAAAAAACAACCATAAGAATCCCAGTTTGAACTGGAAACCTTGACCTCAGTGCTCTGATTAAAGCAGAGTAAATCACCTGGTAGTGTTGATAATGAGGCAGGTTATGATAGATGCTGATAACGTAGAAATGTTCAATGCACTTCCTTTGAGCTGTAAACAAAGCCTTTGTCACACAGCACTGTGGAGTGAGAGAGAAGCTCACGGTCTGAACACAGATGGTGTCATTATTCTACAGACGTGACACTGTGATCAACATTTACATCATCATGATAAGTTTAAACAAAAAAAACTCTCATCTGGTTTTATTTTAAATTTGGATTTAAATACAGAGTAACAGCATCTGTCTCCGAACAGGAAGCTCCCTACATGATGCTGAAGAAGAACCACGAGCAGTTCGAAGGAAATGAAAGGTACGAAGGTTACTGTGCAGAACTGGCCGCGGAAATCGCCAAACACGTGGGCTTCGCCTATCGGCTTGAGCTGGTGGGCGACGGAAAGTACGGAGCCAGAGACAGCGAAACAAAGATGTGGAATGGCATGGTGGGAGAACTGGTGTACGGGGTGAGTCTGACGGGAGATGAACGTGTTTTAACTTCGCTGGACGTCAGCACCAATAAACACTTCCTCACTTCCTCTCTCTGTCTCTCTCTCTGCAGAAGGCGGACGTGGCGGTTGCTCCGCTCACCATCACTCTGGTCAGAGAGCAGGTGATCGACTTCACCAAACCCTTCATGTCTCTGGGAATCTCCATCATGATCAAGAAACCCACCAAATCCAAACCGGGAGTCTTTTCCTTCCTCGACCCGCTCGCCTACGAGATCTGGATGTGCATCGTCTTCGCCTACATCGGAGTCAGCGTCGTCCTCTTCCTGGTGAGACGTAATACTTTTACTGCAGATACTTTAACTACATGAGGCCGATGATACTTGTGT